GACTCAAGGGAGCCATCAAGGGGGAGATGAGAGCTACTCCTCGGTCGGTTGGTAAGGGCATCATAGATAACTTTGTGCCGCGCGTCAAGCAATACACGGAGCTGAATGGAGGTCATCCCGAACACATGCTCTAGACTAAAGACAAAAAGGCCGCAGTCCCTCATGCTTTGATATGATGTTTAAAACACAATACGCTACTTATAATCGAAGTTGCATTCAGTTCTGACAGAAAACTAAGAAATGAAGCCTATTGAGATTTTAGGCCCCTTTTTGGGATCACCCAGTGTATGAAATAAACACTTCCACACGCTTTAGGGCATTATTTTGTACCTTTAGAAGGTAGCCCGGACTTATACGTTATCTGAACGACCTTTCGATTGAAGCATAATGGAGTAAGTATTCGCAGCATCGCGAACCGGTCCTGGAATCTGGTGGAGGCATTGGAAAAGCAAAGGTAGAATCTGATAATTCTGGGAACAAGTTAACATTTGTGCTGGCCCCAGTCTAATCTTTGATCGATTCAAACTGATGTTAGGACCTTCAAAAGCGCTTTCCAAGTGTTTCACGACGGCCGCTCTCGCGCGTTTGCCGCCGCCACCTAGTGTTACCTGCACCGGCCAACACTGATCGGTCTTATAAGAAACTGCAGCCTCGGCCATCGGTGCTATTACCGCTAAGACTGCGAGCGCGCAGGTTCAGAACGGGCTTACGTAATATGTTTCCTAAGTCGATTCTGCAAAGGAATAGACTTCCTCAGTCAAATGTTGGTTGGCTGTCCTACACATTTTATCTCATTTCGAACCAGCCTTTTGAAATCAACTTAGACCCCTTACCGTTTTCCGGGCGGAGAGAGAGAGAGAGAGAGAGAGAGAGAGAGAGAGAGAGAGAGAGAGAGAGAGAGAGAGAGAGAGAGAGAGAGAGAGAGAGAGAGAGAGAGAGAGAGAGAGAGAGAGAGAGACGGTTTATTGAGAAAAGCATGGCTTCGAGTATCAACTCATATAGCACATGTGCACAATATACATATGCAGTAGGACACTGCTTAGTTGATAATATATCTGTGCTTATAAGAGTGGTTATATGGGGAATGCTTGATTTGCGTAGTCGCATACCTCAGCAAAACGTTTGGAGTGTGCTTGCGCTTCTGGTATTGCTGCCGGAGATCGCCACTCGCTGCTTTGGAAGCAAATCTCTGTGCATGGGAGACGCTTGCATTTGTTTTCCTAGCCTTAGGCATAGCTTTTCTCTTCTGCCAGCGAGGATTTCCATGCCCAAGTGTTGCAAGATGTGCGAGTACTTTTCCGAATGGCCGAAGATTATTTTCAAGGCTCTCTTCTGCACTTTCTCAAGATGTTGCGCCTGCTTGGCAGTGAGTCCCGCGTGAAAAACCGGTGCACAATATTCTAGCAGCGGCCGGATGTAAGTAACATACACACGAACAAGCTGTTCTTGTGGTGGATGGTATTTCTTCATTATGTAGAGCATATATAAAGCTTTCGATGCTTTGGTCACAATATCATCCACATGTGCTTGCCACGACATGTCATTTGACATTGTCACACCTAAAAACTTAGTGTTGATGGTAGTTGGCAGGCTTTTTCCTTGAATCATGATGTCCGGTAGTGCTAATGGTTTTTGGCCGTGAAAAAATGCATGACTTGACATTTGTCAATGTTCAATATCATCTTGTTTGCCGTTTCCCAATCACTTACCTCGTCAGTGTGCTCTTGCAACTGGTAGTGACGATCTACTTGGTCAATTCGACACGCCTGGTATATGGTAAGGTCGTCTACATACTTAAGTCGGTTGTCAATATCAGCAGCGGCACCGTTAACCATAGCCAGGAAGGGAACCGGGCCAACTAAGCTGCCTTGCGGAGTGCCGCATGTTATGGCTTTCCAACGACTCATGGTTCCACCTGGCATCCTGACCCGCTGCTGTCGGTCCTGCAAGAATGAACAAAGCCACTTTGTATACCCGGAGCGAAGTCCCACTGCAAGCGTGTTCTGAATAACTGTTGCGTGATCAATGAGGTCAAATCCCTTCTTAAAATCGTACACAACCATAGAAAATAATTCGTCTGCTTCGTCAAACTCCGTCAGCAAATCATGCAACAACCTAATTAGATAGTGTGACGTTGAGGCACCTTTCATATTTCCCTATTGGCGCTTATCTATGCTCGGTCTTATATCCGCCAGAATTTGTGGAACAATAGATTTTTCCAAAACCTTGCTAGAAGTCGGTGTGAGGCTTAGCGGTCTCAGATCTCCTGGCAACTTGGGCGATGTTTTCTTTGGCACAGGGGTGATTGTTGCTCTCTTCCACACCAATGGCACGCACCCTTCATGCAATGACCGGTTGAAAATATGAGTGAGTGGTACAACCAGTTCCACAGAAAATTCCTTTACTAGCCGCATTGGAAGTTGTCCAGTGGGCACAGCCATATTTTCTCTCAACTGCAATAGCTGAAAAGCAACTCGACCGCGTGGGTGGAGCGCCGAGAACACTTATCATTCCTGACCAGGGGATGAAGGGCCATTCCGTCCCAGCGCAGGGTGTCTATCGGCTGCCATTCTGGCGATGCGGAGCAGGGCCCCTGGTCAATCCAGAGGACACTAAAAGTTATACATCATACGCTGGGTTCTTTTCTGACGCGGGAGGCTTCTGATCTGGGCAATTGGCCCTGAATCGACGCAGGGTCTTCATTTACGCAAAAATCCGTTATCGCCCCAGGAGGTCCAATAATGGCCACAGATACTTTAATTCGGTTCAACGGCCCTTTTGCTAAAATTAGGAGGGAGGGCCCGCCGTTTTGTACTGGGACCCCTGACCGTCACCGGACCCTTTCATTGTTTCATTGTGGACTCTCACCCTAGGTTCTCATGTCCCCTTTTGCTGCTGAAGGGCCCCAACCAACGCAAGAGGTTCTCTGGCATTCCGAGTCCCGTCACTGTACCTGCTCATCAAATGTTCCCCTGGCAGATTCGAGGCCCCTTTCCGGCACAGCAACCCCTGTCAGACGCTGTGGGCCTGTGACCGACACAGCTGCCGCTCATTGTCTCAGCGGCTCCGACCAATGCAAATCACGGGCCCCTCCTTCGTCCCTGTTTAGAAATGGGCTCGCAGAGCTGCCCAACACGGAGCCGACTGCTCGGTGCTGGTGGTCTCTGGCCGAAGTAAAGGCCCGCCTTGTCCCAGAGCATCCGCAATAGGTGCAAGAGGCCCTTTGACTGGAATCTGAGGTCCCAGCCATATGGGCCCGAGCAATTTGTGGTCTGCATCCAGCCCTTCGGACCTTCAATCGGGCACCTTGATCGTCGGTTCCTTGGAGCCCTCTTCGGGACCCCCCGAACACTGCCTCTGGCTGACTCGGGAACCCTTGCCAACACCCCTTGTTAAGTTCTGTGGGCACCTCGCTGACACATAGGGCCACTCTTTTGCTCAGGGGCCTCGACCAGTGGTTTCCAGACCTGCATCACAATCTGTACGACACAAGAGGCTCAGAAAATAATGTAGTACTAGGACCCACGCACTCTCTGTGCATCGGCTCATTTTGAGTGGCCTTGAGACAGTCTAGTTTTTACAGCATTAACATCGAACCATTTAATCAGCACACTTTTGGATTTACCTAATTGTCGACGTTTTTAGCTTTAAAGCTTGCATACTATCGGAAAACAAACTATGATTTCCATATTACCACGGAGGTTGAAGGCTTCATATCAAGACATCTTTTTCATTGAGAAAATTTGTCGTGCATTGGAAAGGGATTGCGAAGAGACGAACTACATTCCGTGCTTGGTCGACAGGCGGTCTTTTGTTGTTATTGAGGGGGGGGGGGGGCAAACAGGTGCATCATTGGAATTTGTGGCGTAGCCAAGGGGAGCGAGACCTCGGGCATCGCCCTGCCCCCCCCCCCCCCCCCCCCTCCTTCCGGAGGTCGAGGGGATCCCTGAGACCGAAGATCCCACCATTTTTAGCAATTAAACACGCCCGCAAATCTCTTATACAGAAAACGAGCCTCTGAGGCATCTCGATGGCATCTTGAACTTAGATAGGTCCACAAAAAGCAAAAAAAAAAAACCTGTGCTCGTACAACGGCGAAATAAAACCCCTTGGCTGAGAGGGCCCACAGGACCTGCCTTGACCTTCCTCAGGTCGAAATCCTGGCTTTGCCACTGTTGCGATCTACATTTAGCGCTACACTTGACCAGCACCCGTTCTCACATGACGAACGCAACTTTTGACTGGCGTCAACAGCCCATGAGGCATGCAGCGGCGGCCTGCCGTCTCCGCCGACTCGTCCCACCCAGTGGCAGTGCATGGGTGCGCCTCTGGCCGAGGCGGCGACGCGGAGGCTGGTGCGGACCGCGCCGGGCGGGATGGCTCCCTCAGGACGGCCAGGCGCGCTCCCGGAGGCGTAAACAGACGGCCCGCCCCGACCGCCAGCGCCGTAAATCAGACCAATGGAGACAGCTGACTGCCAGACTCGCAGCAGCAACGCCCTCCTGTGCCCCCACTCCCAGTCCCGATCCCGATCCCGATCCCGATCCCGATCCCAATCCCGATCCCAATCCCATTCCAGTCCACCACGACATAGGCGCACCAGACTCACTCATGTCAAGTTGACACATTAACGACGGATCGGACTCGTTAGCAGTTCACAGTGGCTGCGGCATAATTTGCAAGGCTCCCTTCCAAATCTTTCACAAGATCACCAGCGAACATACTCATTAGCGATGTGCTACAAGCCGCAGCGGTGCCTGAGCACCATGCGTGCAGTGCGAGCAAGGTAGTGGACATCAAACACCGACTCGCTGCCCAGCTGGCCTTGCCACGATAGCCGGACGATGCTGAATCACCATATGTCATGACAATTGTGTTACAATGATAAATCGTGGCAGCAAAGGCAAACATCTTGTAACTTTCCGACAAATTCATCAGTCGCTTAGTGATGGATGGGGTCAAGACCATCAGTCGGCAGGTGATGACCAAAGCCACAAAACGATCACAAACTCCTCTATTACTTCACAGCAAATTGATGCCACAATCATTGCGAGCCAACCAATTCACACAATTACTAGACACCCTCACCCATTCCAAACTACCACACAACACGGTGCATCGCACATTACCTCAGCACAGGCTCGTCCAAACGCATCGGTCCGCCCGACCCGGCATCCTCTCTGCGCTCACACCAACACGCCCGGTATTGGGCCCGCGAGCGGCCGGCCGGCGGTCTGTGGCCGGGCCGCGCGTCCCGCGGCTGCCTCGACCAGCTGCCCGCGCGCCCATCACCAGGGCCGGCGCGGCGTCTGCATCACGTCCGAGAGGATCCACTGCGTCTTGGGGTGCGGCACCAGGCTCATCTGCTTGTGGCGCGGGTGGACCGGGCACATGATGTACCAGCGGTTGTGGCGCGCCACCAAGTAGCAGTGCTTGCAGCGCCGCCGCAGGTTGTACCTCATTTTCATGCCGCAGGAGGGCAGCACCTGCAGAAGGACACGGAGATGGTGTCAGGCTACATCGACTACAATGGTATGGGTCAACAGACGGCCTCCAAATAGGGCACTTTAGTAAGGCGGGCATCACCATCCCTGACCCTTCGAGCACACACACAAAGCACTTTTTACGCACTGCTCTCTGCCCGTCAACAAAACTATACCGATGCCGCGTAGTTTTCCACGTCGTCCACCGAGCGTGCATACACGCGGCTCTGGTGTCACATCCCTTGTGAAAAGTGTGATACACATAAAAAAACTTCGCTACACTTTCTTGAGTCTAGCCAAACAAATATGCAGACACATCACAGGCAGCCCAGTGGTTTAAGTGGCGGCCAGTGGGCGCCTGCCAGCAGCTAACCTGCGGAGTGGCGGCGGCCAGGAGGCGGCGGGCCGCCGGTGCCAGAGGACCGGGGCCGCCGCGCCCGGCCGGCAGCCAGGTCTGTAGCTGGCAGGCACTGAAGATGGCCGGCAGCTGCTGCACGGCCAGTACCGCCCTGCTCAGCCGACCCAGCAGGCTCATGGCTAACCTCCTGTGGCAGCAGAGGTAGGTGTCAGGGCACAGACGGTGGTGGGTTAGGACTGCAGTGGGAGATGAGACAACAACAGACATGATGCAAGAGAGTGCATCATATCATATCATAGCATGTTAGCATAGCATAGCATGTTATGGGGAAACATGGGATGTACATGAGGGTAGCCAACTGTACAATATATGGAGCAACACATCACATAAGGAGTGATCAAGCAATGGCCAACAGCACTGCGAGGATCTCTGGCTGCTGTTTCCTGCATAGTGCCATTCAATGTGTGTTTTCAATTCAATTCAAGTGTTTGCCAGCATCTTATCCAGATTAAAATGATAAAAGCACAGTAGCCGAGATTCGTAAAACAAGTGGTCACACAACATACTGGAATGTTTAACTCTTCTGTCAGTAATCTTGCAGCAAGATAAAACCCCAAGATCTCCAGACCAAGCCCATGATTTTGCATGACTGCCTTTCAAATGATCATCATTATCTGAGATAAACCACAAATTTACATGAAAACAGACTGAAAAACTCTTGAAACATACCTTTGCATCACTCCATTCACAGAACCTAAAGCTTGGGATGATAAATGCCCATGAGCAAATGAGGTGTGCAATAATCACAAGAATAACCAACAATTCCCTGCCTTCTTTGGTAATGGAACAGTCACCAAACACCCAGCCATGATCATTATGACATAGCAACAATATCTTCCAAGGGACATATGCATTTGTTTTTGCATCATAGCCTAGTTACACCATCCATATTTCACATTTGACATCAGGGGAGCAGTGCTGCAACATAAGTCAGGTGGATGAATATGAGAAAATTGCCCTGACTTGTCCCTTAGGTTACTTATTTGAGAAAAAACAAAGTTTATCCCAAATTCGTCCCACTTGGTTCTCAAAGCTGTGGAGAGGAATAAAGCACACCAACTAAAAAGGAAATTGCATCGCTGTCTGATGGGATCAAACTCATCCGTGTCATCACCAACATTACAATGCATGCGTCTATTCGATCACACTTCAGGTTCACATAACCATAACTTGAGAACGGGACCCAGAACCTCCCACCTAGGTAAACGAACTACGCGGAATGTACGTCTACGTCGAAAAACAGTTTTATTTAACCAGAAATGCAATAAATATCGCGCTAGACACATCTACATACCCTCCTTTCAACCAAAACTCCTTCCTAACTTCGGCCGCGCGTCTAATCTATGGCGAGCTTCCACGGATCACCCTCTGTAACATCTGCGCAATAAATGAAACATCATGAAAAGGTTGACCGCATTAAATGCCAAAATCCGAGCGTCGACGGCGGTCATGATAGGGTTGACCAACGCAGTTGTTTTGTTTAAAAAAATACGTAGGCAGACATAATGTACATGCACCATGGGTGGATCCAGAATTCAATAGAGTGGCCTACAATTGTGTTTTTATGTTCCATATTTATGGGATCCTCGTCTTCTTGGTAGAGGAGGCTCCTCGTACATGTACGTATGTAGCCTTTTACCATAAACGGTACCATCCAGTAACCAACGCACGCACCGTTTCGTCAACATGTTCGAAATGGCAAGGATAGGGACAAGTACACACGGGGCGGGAATACTGCACTGGCCCCTGAACCCTCTTGAGCCTATAACATGAAAATTTATTGTTGCCATGCATAGCATATTTGACTAACGCTAGACCGACCTATGCTCATCTTCCTGCTTCATACACTTGGCCCACGACGCTTCGTTATTGACAACGGACACGATTACAGCAGAAGTCGATGTTTCCCAAACGCATACGCATGCGTGGTGAGGCATGCACGTTCGCACGTCTTTCCCCACCACTGAGGGCGCGCTAAGTCAGAGGAGTGGCAGGTGGCAGGTTTCTCGAACGAATGAGCCATCGTCACAGGGAACAGACAGCTCAACACACATTGCCCTCAGTAGTCAGCGCCGTCCAAGGCCTGGAGCCTCACCGCGACGCTGCATCACTTCAGAGCGATGCCTCACGTGCTCAGCGTGAGAACTCAACAAGACGGATCAACTAATATATTTGGTGGACATATCACAACAACTAAAGGTGCGCATCGAGCCCGGCCGAACGTCCAGGGTGACCTTCACCCCTGTTCTTCCTCACACGCATGGCTCTGGCGACGATGCACACGAGCCCATGCGGCCGGCCCGCAACACCCGAAAACAAGCACGATCACGGGGCGAGATATAACCAATGCGGTAAAAAACGTGAGGTCTCTGGTGGAGCCTCTCGCCTAGCGACGGAGCGATCCAACCGTAAGGTCAGATCACCAGATAACACAACACACCCAATGTTTGTTCTACAGCTTCACAGTCGGACCATTTGTGCTAAGCTTAGTAAGCGCTCTTTCCACCTCACTATCTTGTTCACAGAACAAACTAACACGCGAGTGGATGCGTACGAACATGGAAATTGGGCAGGGGGTAGGAACGGCTTTTGATAGATGTTTAACATGCAGTCATGTAGCTAATGCACGTTGTCAATCCTACAGTTGGAAAACGCGCATTTGCAAACAAAACAAAGCTCAGCGCAGATTCGCGTTAGTTTCCGTTCATATCCGTGATCCTGCAGCAGGCGCGAGGGAGTGTCTCAAGGCACCAGCACGCGTACGTGACTGCCTTTGCCTTCTCGAACAGTGTGCCCTCAACGTAAGTAAAGTGGACCAGCAATAAGTGACAGATCTCTACTCAAAGGCGGCGTGCTATCAATAATAATGTAGCCTGCCGACGCCAGATAAGGTCTGCCCACACCCTGCAATTCTACATGTCTAATCATAGTCATTGTAACAAGTACAGTAAACATATATCGACGAAACCCCGGTCCTCTGCGCACATCCGTAGCCTGAAGACGAGGCGATGACAGTAACTGAAAGCTCGCTGTTACAAGGTGCAGCTTTGACATACAGTAGCCCCCAAACAACATCGCACGCAAGGAGGTCCAACAGAGCGAAGAGTGGCAATCACGCACCACGCATATCTCTACACCGAGAAAGGCACCGCCCTCGTGGATCTCCGGGACCGCCTCTGTGCCCGACGCCAGCCGATTCCACCGCCGCCACCACACCAAAGCACGGACGGGACACAGCCACTGGGGCGGTGCAGCCGACGGCGCGGCAGGGGCCCGCCCGCGGCGCAGGGTCCCGTCTAGGTGCCTCTAGGGACCCGCCACACAGCCAGCAAGCCGTACGACGCAGGATGACGACACGCGGTAGCAAAAACACCGACCCACGTGGCACGGTCAGGAGGCGCACACGCGGGACAAGCAACCGACTGGCAGCGAAGCACGTCGTAAAGCTCAGACCACTACCACACGGCTACGACAGTCGCCCTCGCCAGCAGCATACTGCGCAACACCAATCACAAACCAGGGCTAAAACTACTTTCAGCCTTGCGAAGCTTAAGTTTCTCCAGGCTAGATCTCGCGGTACAGAGCTGCACACGAGCGCAGCCGCCGAACCCAATCCCGTAATATTCGACGGCTCTGAGTCGCACCAGACCCGAGTGTCCACCGGTCTCCACCATTGGCCCGCAGCTTGGCCTTGCGATGACGTCGCAGCGCCAATGACGTCACTGGTCGCACGTCGACGTCGGCATCAGGCCACCACTGGACGAGCGCTGACGACGTCAGCGAGGCGAGGCGGCGGCCGCGGTCATATGACGACGGCGCCCGCCTCGCTGCGCGACTCGGGCAGCGGCGTCGAGTCGCTCCACTCGCCCGACAGCGGGTCGTACACCTGCCCGGCGGCCGACAGTGTCAGGTCAGGGCAGCAGCCGATGGCGGCAGGGGCGGCGGGCGCGCCCTAGCGCTGCAGCGCTGACGGGCGGCGGGTCCAGACACGGCGCCCGCCCGGCCGCGGACCGGGTCAGGTCAAGGGACAGCAGGTCAGAGGTATCCCGGTGTCCGACAACAGACCTTTGAGTCAGCACGGGACGCCAGTCGGCCCGCAAGACACCCAGCCGAACGGACAGCATAGCAGGGAGCAGTGCCGGCGCCAACACAGTCACAGTCAGCACACCGGGGGGCCAATGAACGATCACGACTGCGACACTCACGCAAGCCATCTCATACACGACGCTGCAGTTGTCCTCCGAAACAGAGGCGAGACGCACGCTTTCACGCATCCTTTTCACGGAGCGCCAGCGACTACGGCGATAATATCGACTTTCCGGACAATAGCACGACCCAAATTAGACCCCCTCCCCTCCACCTACTCCACGTGCGAGCCAAAAGCGCTACCAGCGGGAGGCGTAACACTGACGCACAGCGAGACACGAGGTACTAACCTCGACAGCAGAAACGGTGATCTCTGCGCGGTAGAAGTCGCTCAGCTGTCGGTTCTGGTCGCCGCCAATCACGTACAGCAGGCCGTTGGCGGCCGCCACGG